ATGTCACAGAAGGGCAGTAGTCCAGGGTCCATTTTATTTTCATTGGACCAAGAGTCTGCTCCATGCAGGTGTAGTTAGTAATCCTTCCTCAGTTTTTTTTCTTGTAGGAAAGTGTGAGAAATTGCCTTTTAATTTCTTCTAAAAAATGTAGTTATATTATGCAAAGGGGAGGTATCCCAAAGCTGGTACCTTTAGTTCGTTTTATCTTTCCACCCTGCAGTTCACAGACCAAACAAACAGTGCTGTTAATGTTTTACAGGTCAGTAAAGACGATTATACATCACACACATTACAAAGCCTTTTTTCGGTAATAAGTAACAATCTTATCAGCATGAAGAGAATAGAAAGCAATCTTAATGCTGCAGTTACTGCACCTTATTAAGACAAGCAGTAATGAATGCAGGTCAGGCTGAAGGAAATTTCCAACCCATAAGGTCCCTTTACAACCACATGAAAAATCTTTGTTTTATTGTTGTTTTTTTGTTTGTTTGTTTTATTTGGTCCATAACTAAACACAATAAAAAAAACATTTTTAAAGAATTTTTTAGGAAATTATGTTGAGCGTTTTTAGAAATTTTTGAATTAATCTTAATAAAGAAAATGCAAACCTTTCTAAATGTTGCAGGATATGACCTTCAGGAGGCAAACTAGACCTCAGCCTCGTATAATAATTTATCTCGACAACACATCCTGGAAAAGAATAAAAAAACAGTGTTGGGAAACATTTACAGTTTAAATCGCCAGACGATGCAAGCCCCTGTGTTGTCATGGATATTGCTGAAAGAAAAAACAATGCACACGTTTTTAGCTGTTACAAATTTACTTCCTGTTACCCACTTTTTACTACGTGCCTGACAAAACACAACACTTGTCATGTGTGTCTGAATCATGCACACCTCTTACAAGCCTGTTGCATCAGTGGATGTCATGACTAGTTCAATCCAGCTCAGGGACGAACAATAAAACTAGGATGGGTGTGTGCAGTAGTTAAATCCGAGGAGAAAAACAGATTTCAGGAAGCGACAGATGGATGGATTATGTTTAACATAAATACCTCTGCAATGCAGCTGCAGTCAGGATTGGCTCAGACTTTCAGAGGTTCTCATTCTATCTTTTGTTTGTCTGCTCTGTTTGCAAAGAACAGCGGTAGACCAGTTCTGAACTTGAAAAGCAAACATAGATACACATGTATACCCTTACCTGGAGACAGGAGACATAAAGAGCAGGAGCCAGAGAAACTCTTCAATACTGCAGACATAGAAAATCCAGGAAAGAAAAATAGATGTCATTAGATCAGACTAAACATTTTCTGTTTTAAGTAATATAGGATTCCCCAAATCATTTCGAACGACCAATTGTTTAAATCAGGAGAAAAAAAATATTTCAGAAGTTTTTTTTCTTATATTTAATATTTAGTTATTTAGGTAAACTGCATTTATTTTAATTTTAAACAATGTGAACAATGTCCCAACAAGACAAAGTCATGTCTTTGCAGGGCCCTTATTGATTTACACTTTGAGAAAGATTGGGGCCATGCATTATAAGGTAAGACCTCAAACACACTGAAAAAAATCAATAATCCAAAATGTCAGGAAAAACTTTGGTACCTCTATGTAGTACCTAACATGGCTGAAGGTACATGTCAATCAGTTAAAACACTTATATCGAAGCATAAACAGCTTTTAAGGATCACCGTTCAGTAAGGGGGGTTGCAGAGATACTTGAGAGAGTTTTTCTCGAATGCAAAAAAACAACCTATAGAACAAAAACAAAATTCTTTGCAAGCATTGGGACAATATACCAGAAATAATCTACAAAGAAAACAAGAAAACAAACAAGCAAAGACAAAACAACAAGGATTATTACAGTTCTGACTTTAAAAAAAAAGGCCTTTTCCATTACTGTTGCAATCCATTTTTTTATACCAGCCTACCCTTGCAAGGTTTTAGGGGCAATCAGTAGAAAGAGAGATGGTTACACCCTTGATAGGCCTACAGGGCAACATAAAGGTCGGCTCCAGATAAGCTGCAAGGTAAAGAGACAATGAATATTTCTGGGCTGTGGGGCTCCATACAGTAAGATCCATCTGGGATTTTAACCAGTACTTTACGGTGACAATGCAACAGTGCCAACTATGAATAAAAGTAGTTTTGGTTATCTTAACTGACCTAGTAAGAATTTGTTTTAATGTTAGAAATGCAAAAAAAGAGTTGAGAAGTCAGGTCTGTCATGCTGTGTCCTTGAGCTATTTTCTTTGTTATCTGTCTGTTATTAACACAAAGGTCAAGATAAAAGTATTAATTAAAACCTTTAACGGCTGGTGCTCCAGTAGAAAGGTTGTGGGCAAAGCCATCCTGTCTTTCCTACACTTATCTACCAGGCTAAAGTCTGTTGCGTTTATGAGACATTGTGCAACAGATAAATGCTGCTTGCTTTAGTTTCTGGAAGCCTTTAAAAGCCTGTCTTTTTTTTTTTTTTTTTTTACGTTTGCAGCTTGTGATCTCTAGTGAAAAGATACATGATTAGCCGTGTGGCTATGTCCCCCTTCAAATGCTCCCATTGTCTGATGTGTTCCTATTGAAGGCCTCAGATTACAACCTCACACTGTGTCTATTGTGTCCAGACAAGGACCTTTCACACTCTGGTTGCCAATACTAGCACTTATTGGCAGATTCTCTGTGGTTTTCTTGCAGGTGTGGAAATTTCCATAAAGAGTCCAACTCTGCAGGGTCACTTGGTCAAAAATGAAGGATTTGGGTGGTAAACAATTGAACAAATGCTGGTGTATGCATTTTCCAAAAAGGTTAGTGCTCAGGTTTCTGATGACCCCAGCAACCTTTGTTGTCCAACGGCAAAACCACTTATGAGGGCATTCTGCACTGGCATTAAAGCGCCTGGTGATAGCACTTATAACCCTTGAACTGTTCTGAATTTTGTCATGTCACAACCACAAACCCCTGTGTATTTTATTGGGTTTTCATAAGTTGGATAAAAGAGCAATACATCAATGTGAAGTGGAAAGAAAGGGATATGTTTTTTTTAATACTTTACTAATAAAGATTGAAAAGTGAGCAGCCTTTGTGAGTGAAAATGTTGTAGAACCTGTTTTTTCCACCATGACAGCAGCAAGTTATCTAGATCCTGAAAGTTTTGCCTTTCCCCCTGTGGGAAATGACACACGGTCATGTTTGATGGGAAAACTGATCTTGACTTCAATGAAGCTCTTTAGCTTGACCTTCATTTCAATTAAATTCATTTTAGCTCTGTTCAGTTTATTTCTATAGCGCCAATTCACAACACATTTCATCTCAAAGCACTTTACATTTCACCAGATCATACAGTCAAATTGAATCAAAGTTATCTATCTAAGGAAAACCGGTTGATTGCATCGACCGAAGAGAGCACATCCAGCTAGTCACAGTCAGAGAAACAGGGCTACACTGAAAAACATCAATCAATCTCCAACATCTATAAACAAAGGTGTCCTTGTCACCACAACGTCTGAGTATGGCATACTTTGATGTAAATCATACCCTTGTCAGTCTTACTTTGCATATACGGTTGCTCCTATGCTGTAAGGTGAACCTTCATTTCATTTTCAGAATTTTTGTTTTTTCAATTGCCTCTAACAGTTTTCCAACAAAACTATAGTGTATTCAGCTACATATACATTTAAATCAACTCAAACCAGCTTCGTCATCCCCGCTCAAAATAAATGGATCCCTATCAGATAATGCTGCCACCATCGTATTTCATAGTGGGAATTGTGTTTTCAGGATCATGTAAAAAGTTAAGCTTTTCTCCAGAAATGTACTTATATGTTCAATTAAATATTTTTTTCAACTAAAAATTGACCAAAGCATCTCTTCCAAGGGCATGTTTCTTCTCCATAATTAAATGTTCTAAATGTATTTTAACAACAACCCTCTTTTTGCTGCTCTATTAATGGATCTCAGATTTGTTGACTGCAACATCCACTGTTATCAGGCCGACAGATTCTTTGTTACTCCCTTAGAGATTTCTCAATTTCAATCCTCAATGCTCACCTTGTTTAGTCTGTCCCATAATTTTTTGCTTTCCGCTTAATTATCTTTCCATTTTCATATGATTGACTGAGCAGTGCTCTTTACAATTTTCTGTTGTATAACCTAAACTCTTAGCTTTTTGCCAGACCTCCACTTTTTCATTAATGTTCCTCAACAAACCCTTTAAGAATCTTTTATTCATAGAGCAGCTGCATTTATTCAGAGATTACAGCACAATCAGGCCTGTATTTTGTGATGACATGTGAAGAAAGGTGGTTCCAATTGATTTTTATCACGGGGTGTTAAATACATATGTCGGCCACACTTTTCAGTTTTGGAATGGATTCAAAATCACGGTTTAAGGCCATAAAACGTAAAAGATTTTATGACATTAATACTTTTGCAAAGGAGCCGTAACTGCTGATTGGATATCTGATTTATGTTATTTGTGAGGGCAATAACTGTCCACAGATTAGCTGTAGACTTGCTTTGACCTAATTCTGTATGTAGGTGACTGTCAAGGAGAGGGGGAAAAAAAATTAAGATTGGTGAAGGAAGGGCTTCCCTTTGTACAGACTTGTCTTGGCTTGAAACTAGACTGTTATTCTGGCAGCATTCCTTACAGTCACCCTTGAGGATCTGGTGTCTGAAACACATTTTTGCAATTTTCAGCTGCTGATACTTCAAGAATGCACGCCCTAAAAGTTAGGCTGGTTGAAAGACACTCAAAAATGAAGTGATCTGATCATTTAAGCAAGGCTATTTTCAAAAAGCTTAATTTGCTCTTCAACTGAACTTCATTTCTAAAATGTATACTTTTAATAATATATATAGTGAAGTAATGTAGAACCCAGAAGAGTAACATTTCGAGCACTTTCCCTCATGCAAACCGCTGGAAAGAGCAGCAATCCCTCAGCTGCTGTTGCCCAATAGACACAGTGGTGTAGAGAAGTGGGCAGTGCTGCACACTCCCCCCACCAGCCTTTATAAATTCCCCCCCTTACATCCGCCTTGCATGCGCTGAGCTTTATAAACAAAGGCAAACCTTCTTCCCTTTTAAAAGACGGGTAGTTCTAGTTGACTTTTTGTGTTTGCTGTTTGATTCGGGACAATTAGAAGTTGAAGCAACAGGTAGGTTCTTTTAACCAACTAACTTTTAAACGGAACTAAGCTTTTTCTCACCTTTTCTCTCGGATTGGGCTCGCTGCATGTCATCTGACCACGTTGTGGTTACTATTGGTTTCTGGAAAACGAAGTTAGACATTTTTTATAAATAAAAAGGAAATTAATACGGTTACTTTTAGCTTTATTTTTGTTTTTATTTATTTTATCTTGCGTGCACATCCGTTTTTTTCGCATGCATTGTTTAGTAAATAATTAAAATGTTGTGTTTGATGACTTTCAGTCTGCATTTCTGTTACTTTTCTGCAGGTATGGAATGAAATGCGCGTTAGTTTGTTGCAAAAACGACTAAAGCGGATGGTCCTATTTCACACGTGTCACTGAGGGCACGCGCCCACCCAGAATACTTGGAGTTTTTTCTTTATTTTAAGGATGGGCTTTTTCTTTCTTTCTTATAATTTACCCACAATATTGACAGCCAAAGCAAGCACAAGGGTTTAAAATAAAGGGCGCTGGAGTAGGAACTGGACTGAGATTATTGGATTAAAAAAACATATAAATACATTTTAAAGGCACTCCACGTCTCATTGTTTACATTTCCAGGCAGTTCAAATGTTGACATGGAGCTTAATCCAGTCTTCTCTGGCTTTGAAGAGCTCATCCAACTGTTTAAAAAGTTGTAAGCTGTGGTGGGCTTAAAGATGAGGACCCACACCATGAAAAAACACCAGCTGCTGCTGTCATGTTTCCTCATTTCCTTTGCTTTACTTTCCGGCCTGGACATCCCCAAAGTGTCCCTATCTTAAATGTTTATCTGTTATTGTCAGAAATGTAGGTCTAGAGCAGCTTAATCCCACAGTTGAGTCCTGTGCTGATATTTCCCAACTAGGGATTGACAGATTAAGTGAGTTCCCAAAGATTAGAGAAGCAATCAATGTTTCTGCTGATGGGGTTGTGAATGTCATGCTACAGGGAAACACTTGATTCTGCCAATCTAAAACTGAATTGATGTGTTTTCCTGAAGTTTGAGATCCAGGTGGTTTCTGCCTTGGGATGTTTAAATCCCCATGTTTTTATCTCTGCATTTAAAACTAGAAAATAGGCATTGATGTGATTATAGACTTTAGTAGTTAATGGGTTTTAGCCACTGCGTTTTATTGGGAAGAGGTACACCAAAATGCTATTTGATTTTACATTTTTAGAAAAAAAATAACTGTAAAAAGTCCTGGAAAGATGTTTTTGGTCTGCCGGCTGGTTCTGTGAAAGTATCTGGTTGTTGAGGGCCACATTTTGGCTCATCCTAGACACATCCTCCCACTGCTTCCTGTTCATGATTACATAAGCAACTTCTACTTCTGCCTGACTTGAGAAGCTTTACGGAAATGTTATCGCTTAAAGTTAACTGTTATTTTGCTTTTAAAGTGACCTGCTGATCTATGCCCTAAATATGTTTCTGCATGGCGGAAAAGTCCTGATTTCAGGTTTGACCGTCTGCATCGAAATGTTAGAGGAAAAGCTTCCTTTACACAATGCAATCATTCTGGCTCTGAATAGAATGTTACACAGAAGGTAGAAGGTAGCCAGAAGTAATGCAATTTTTTTTTTTTTTCTCTCCAACAAAAATAGATATAACAGTTGGGGCTATTTGTTATTTTGTCTTTAAAAATTAATCGTAAGATCAAAGCTGAACTGGCCAAAATTCGTTTTTGCTCATTTCGATGAAAAAGTGAATAAAATTTAATAGATAGACATGTTTTTTAATTCGACAGGGCCTAAATGTGTTTTATCCTATTTCCTCATCAAAGCACATGTGAAGATTTTTATTTGGACCAGAGAACATGAGGAGTAATATAGGGTTTCTATTGCTGCATTCATAAGCTGGAAATGGTGGGAGCTGTTTGTCTTTATTTTTTATTAAATTAATAATGTTTTCAATAATTGGCCACTTGATCACCTAACGAAGCCAATCAATCAACCAATGATATGCCTTATCTATTAGTGGCAGCTTGGTGTTTCTCCATAGGCCTACTTCATGCACCTTTCTTTGCCAGCTGAACCATGCATTAAGGAAACAGGTGTTGTGGGCGTTTGAAGGGTGGGTGACTTCTTTCTTGGTCATTTAATTTTGGTTCTTCTTGTAATTCTTTCCTTGTTGTTTTGGTAGTTCATCTACCTTTTTAGTCAGAAAAGAGGCCATAACAGTTGCCCTGTCTTTCAGTGTGGCTTCCCTTTCTCACATGACTGAGGAATCTCAGCGGGGGCCGATGTCTTGCCCTCTTTAACAAAGCTCCTGCAGTACAGCGGTGGTCCTGTTTTTGAGCTCTGTGGACAAATGAACCTGTTGTTTGACACTCTGCTTCATCTGGCTTTGATTCTGGACGCAGCACTTACTTATTGTGTGTGAGCGTGGAGCATGTGGGCATCTTGGAAGATGTTTGAGATACTTTTGGAACTGAATCGTGATCAATCAGTTTTTTTTTTTTTTTTACAGCAATTATGCTTTGAGGAATTCCTGATAGTTTCAGAGCTGGGCTAGCTTTCTGGATGTCGAAACACGGAGAACTTTGCGTCACACTAGAAAGAGCAAACAGAGCCAGAGGAAAGTGCATAGAGTTGTCTGAGGCTGGGAAACAGAGTGTCTGTGGCTTCCTGTGAATGTGGATGAGTCCTGGTCAGTGTTGCCTCCCTTCAGCTGTAGAGAAAAGAGGTCAATCTCCTCTCTGACCCTCAGGAGATGACCAACCCAGTAGACAAAGGGTCCTTTTTTAAAACTAATTTGATTTGCATGCAGAGTCACAGCCTGCATGTTCTCTACTCCAACAAAGCAGAGCGATCAGCTAAGCTCAACCTCTCTTCTTCCTTCTTTTTATTTAGTCAGTCTTCCTCTTTCCATACTTGAAATGCTCCAGATAAAGACTCCCTTGGTTTTCTCACAGGGAGACCATAACCTTCTTGAAATTAATACCCAAGTCTGCCACAAGTTCCTCCAATCATCTGCAGGAGTTTATTATGGCTGCCTTCAAGCAAGTTCTGTGGGGGGTTGAGTTGTTAAGATCACATTACCCTCTTCCCCTCTTCGCTGGATTTCCTCTTAGTCTGCCAGTTGCATGAGCCTTATCTGCCAGGTTTTACAGGCAACCAGAATTTGTGCTTTTGAGTTCCTGGGTGTGGTTCACTTCTGTCTGCAAGATTCACATGTTGGTGCAGGTCACAACTTTATTGCATTTCCACCTGAGATTCGGCATCTTAGGGATAAGAAAAACACAAATGTTCAAGAAGGAATTTTCTAGTTATGTAGTGATAAGATGCCATTTTCTTTTGGTTCAAAAGGATGTGAACTTTGACCAAATTACTTCTCATAAAGGGAGCTTTGGTTTTCCATTAACCTTAAGCTTCAGAAAACCTTGAAGGGCACATTGAACCTGGCTAATTATTCTCCTTTCTCTGACTCCCTAGGCTTTGCAGGTATCTGAAATGGATGAGATCCAAGTTGAGTCCAAACCCCTGTTGGTTGACAGAGAACTACCGGTATGTTGGCTAAAACCAATTCATTTCCATGAATGCTTGTTTAGGAAGTAATGTTTTGGGATAGGCCTGTATGGCTCAAAATGAATAATGCAAACATTTTTACCATCCTCTGATTTACGGTTACGCAATCCATTCAACATTATTTGTGACAATATCAGTGATTTAAAATGTAGTTAAAAAAAACTACTGATCCACAGCATTTGGCAGGCTGGTATATTTGTGTGCTTATGCTATATAAGAAATGGGGCCATCTGGAGACTTGGGAGCAGTAATTTGTTGTATTAATTGCAGTATACAAATAAAAGGCATTTAGGAAATTGTTGCAGAATTCCACATTCCTCATCTTCTTGTATAGTAAGAGCCCCATACATACGGCTCCTAAATTCAAAATCTAGCCTAAATACAACAAACACCCATTTTTAACTTTGACACAAGGGAAGGACTTTAAAAAACTGATAACAGATGAAGTCATCATAGTGTCAAAAATAATATGGCACTGTCATGGTTATCTTATATCTAAGTCTCCTAAATTAATGGCTTTTTAAAATTTGGCCTAAAAGTAAACGCAGCTATTGTCCCTATGGACTCTGGGATCAGAGATGACCAAACTATTCAGCATCTGACCCACAGAATGCTACCAAAGGTGAATCATGATCCAAACTATTAGTTGGGTATACAAACATTTGTTTTTACAAAATCTGTTAACCAGCAATGTTATATTACAAGCCGCATCAGCAACCACTTTTATTTTGTCAATTTATAAGGGACCCTTTTATAACCATATAAATGTTTCTTTACTCTAATTCCTGTGGTAGATCTCAAGACCTTGGTTGATCAAGGACCCCAAATAGGGTCATAACCCAGATTTTGGGAATAAAGATGATAGAAGTTCTGACATTTTTTTTTAATACATGTTTTATGCTTAAACATAATGGTAAATGGTAATAAAAACCATTCAAATCTAGTGGGCTGAAGATACTAAAATTCTGTGACGTTTTTTCCTCTTTTCAAACAGAGGGACAGTGAAGGTCTCACAAGCTGATATGGTTGTGGTCCGAAGGTCCGTTAAGATGCTCATTCTGCAGTCTTTGCTTAACACACATAATAAGAAAACAATATTGCTTTAATACGACAGATGGAGGGCTTCTAAAAACTAGGAGAAAACATCAATACCTTTCCTAGAATCTGGACCGTAAATGGCATTACAAGAAATCGTAGACCTAGTTTCTAATGCTGACCAGCCTGTGCATAATTCTGATTTAAGATAAGACTTTATTGATCTCACAATGGAGAAATGGCCTTGTGACACCAGCTCTAAAAAACAGAAGATGCAAAAGAAGGTGCAAGATTTTTACGTCAAGCTCTACGCCATTTGTTTAAATTGATCAGCAAACATAAGAATAATAAAAACGCATTCCAAAAATGCTGTATATTGTCTTAAATGATCACAAGAAAAAATAAAGAGTAGAAATTAGAACTGATAAGAATTTGTGTGGAAGAGTACTGGGAGATTAATCAAGTATTAAGCCCCATAAAACCTCTTGTTTGACTCCTGTTATCTTTACCATGGCATTAAAAGACCAACTGCATTCAGTGACCGTGTTAGGCCCTACGGTATTCAATTAAATTATGTTAATGACTTAAGTGTATGTTTTCATTACTCCATTTTCTCCTTTCAGGGCCTGAGAGAGGCTGTGCAGCAACTTGTTGTCAAGGTAAGGTTTCATAAATGCACATGTATGGCAATATTACTCTGTTGCTAAAATTTCATTTAAGCAGCAGCTATTTGCATGTTGAAGTAATGTCATGCTTTATTATGCCGTTTCTTCTTCCATGTTTTTTCTGGTTGGGAATGTTTATGATTCGGTGAAGACTGCAGTTTTTTTGTTCAGATTTCAAATTCTTGCTATGTATAAATCATTAACTGTAAAACTTTTGTGGAGGAGACTGGTATAAGAAGCCACCTTTAGGAAACATCTTGCAGGGGAAATGGTAGGAAGTTGTTCTCTATAGACCCAAACTGACCTTTCTGAACATTTTATTTATTTTTATTTTTATTTTTTTTAATGTGTGGGAAAACAAAAGCTGCACTTCAAGTTTGACAGTGAATTGTCAGGCCGGTAGCATAAAGGTATTTTTTTTTTGCATGAGGGGGCAGGGAAGCGTTTAATTTGATTAAAAAGATAGTTGAAGCTAAATATGATGATTCCAGATGGTGCCTGGGTTAAACCTTTACGGTACCCAAACATGCAGCCCAAGGTATGTTTAGATAAAACCATACTGATGAATCAGAAAGGCCTAGTTAAAGACCAAAGTTTAATGCAACCATTTCCCAATCAACCTAAGTGTTTGAGCTATTTTGAAGAGAGAAAAAAAAAAACTGTTCAGAAGATATGCAGAATTCTTAGGGACATACAGCTCATATAAGCTAGCTTTTTTTTTTCCCTTTTGCAAAAAAATTGAAGCCCATACATAATTTCTTTCCATATAGTGTCTCATATCACCCTGTTAAAATTATTGAGGGATGTGATATGCAACATAAAGAATTATGGAAAAAAGAACTTTTGGTGTCCTTCGTCCTGTTTCAGAAGCCTATTTTTTTTGCATTAACTGTTAACTAATGAATATCACAAACAAATGCTGCACAATCAAAAACCTTTTCCCTGAATTAGAAATCGCCTTCAGTCCTTTACCCATTCTCAGCCTCTGCACTTTGACCTCTGAGACCCCAGGGGAGTGGTCTGCATGAAGAGGGAAATTCCTTCATACTGAAATCCTCTGAGTGGACTCTAATTGGTCTGATCACTTAAAGTATCTAGGCCTTAAACATCATGCTGACTGGCCCCAGTATCAAAGCTGTATACATTTGCAGCATTTTCTGTCTCATAGCGGTATTTTACCCTGATAGATTTTTATAGAGATGTCAGGGTATGCAGGTGAACTGAAAGGTGTGCAGTTACAGCCTTCCACATGTGTAGGGATTATCCTGCCTACGTGCCTGAGCAGGTCCTGTAGAGGTGGAGGGGGTGGGAGGAACAAGATGTGTGGTTTCTTGTTTGTCCCATCCTGTACATGGGATGTGCATGTCCTTGGAAATTCCTACTAAAGTACATGCAATTAATTTCTTCTGAGAAACAAAACTATGAAGTAACTCCCCCAAAGTAATATGTTTTTTATATATTGGAATTTTCTCCTATATTCATCAAAGTAGGCGTTTTTTAGGAAGAAAATCGCGATAATTTCATTTTGCTTTCCAGTTTGGACGATATTTTATACACTGTATAAACAGTATTCAAGAGAACTCCCCTTCTTTATACCCTCCAGTCTTTTTTTTTTTTTTTTTTTTATGTGCTTGTATTAATTTTAAAACTTATTCCAATATTTTGCTGAGTAATGGCAGCAGTCATTTCTCCCTCATGTTTCCTCTCTGTTCATTAACCCATCCTTTCTCATGTTCTGTTCCCTGTCAGCTGCCCCTCTCTGGTTGATCCAATTTAAGGATGTCTTCATCTAGAATTAGCTTGTTTTGACCAGCCTGCAAGGCACCCTGGGAGGCAGGGGAGCTTAAGGCACACCGTTAAGCGGCGAGGGTATAAAACGCAGCTCATGGCACAGGGCTGGAAAAACTTTAGAGGCTTACCAAGTGTGGAAGGAGCCTGATTGCAGTTTTTAAATAGAGAAGTGTTAGGACTCGAGACCTGCAAACATGGTTCTAGAGGATTCTGATGTGGAAATGATGGTTGATGAGATTGAAGTCAGTGTAAGTAAAGTCTTGATGGTTTTTAGTTTAGACTTTAACAGTTGGATGGTCTTAGTTTGAATTATTTTAATTCTACTCAATTTGCGAGGATAAGTGAAAGCTTTAAAGCAAAGTAGAGACTGAAAAATATTCCCCCTTTTTTTTTTTTTTCTGAAAATTTTCTTTCAAACTAACTTTGAAACTTTTCATCCTGACTTTTAGAGAATAAATAGCTTTTTTTTTCTCTCTATAGGAGCATGATGTTGAGACTCCTTATGGAAGACTCCATTGCACAATGAAGGGGGCTCCCAAAGGAGACAGACCAGTCATCCTTACTTTCCATGACATCGGCCTGAACCGTAAGCCTTGCTCCTTCTTTAGCGTCATCTGGATGAAACGGCTGTTAATAAAGCCGGTGGGGTTTTTAATGACTGTTCCATGTGTGATCAGATTATCTAGTGTGATAACCTTAAGTAAATGGATACATTTTTTTTTAAACAATAAATTCTTAATGCAATTAATTTTAATATATTTAACCTTTACTGCCAAACATAGGAGATTATGTACTATTTTTCATTCTGTTGACAAAAAGCACCAAATTTGTAGCTACCGTAGTTTGCCATCTGCCCATGTAGATCTGACTGAAAGTTTGCTGTTATTTTAACTGTATATTTAAACTGTTACACATATTAAGATGATCAGTCTGTTGAATTTTAATCATGAAGAAAACAAAATCTTAAATAATTACAAATGGCTTCATTGTGGCTGGGAAACTCGATTTTCCTGACCATTGGATCTTTTCATTCCTTTCATTTAATTTTTTTGCTCTTTTTGAAGTGTAGACGTTGGTTTTGCAGAGATTTCTAACTATAAGTTTTATGATCTGGTTAATGTATGTAGTATCTCCTGCAAAGCTGTAAAAGGTAACTGCTTGTTAAACTAGATTATTGCTGAGTGGTAATTCAAATCAAGACATTTTTCTCTCATAAACTACAAGCTCTTTTTAGGAAAATGTAAAACTGACAAGATGACACTGATTTCGTGGGCTTGCGGATGTTTTCAGGGATGTTTATAAGGCTTACTCTTTTCTCTTCTGTGGTAAAGATGTTGAAGTAGGGACACTTGTATGCAAATAACCAAAAAACTCACACATAAGGTGATTAAGTTGTATTTAAATTTAGTTATCAAGGTTGTAAAGTTTCTATTTAAACTTAATTTGACTCTTAACTGGGTCTAAGCTTTAACTGGAAAATTGCTTTAAAGAGAGGTAAACGTTAAGTAGTTACAGGAAGTGTGGAGCAACTAGTGGGGAAGGAGTGTTGTTGCTACAGACTGCCAGTGATTTACAGCGTTTTCTGTTATCTCATGAAAAAAATCCCCTTTAAACTGTAGAACCGGTCTCATGATGAGTAGTGGCTCTAAACCTGAAAATCCTGGTGCAGTATGGGGCACCTTGATGCATAATGGGGCAAACACGGTTGCATTGGAGTCTAAACTCTTTCAAGGTTACTGATCATGTAACCAGGTACACCATGGGTTATTCCTCATTGAAAAAAAAACAAACTGCAAATCCCACCCTTCTAATAAGCCCTCCTGTTTTTTGTTTGCAGACAAGACCTGTTGGGACGCGCTCTTTAACCATGAGGACATGGCAGAGATCATGCAGCATTTTGCTGTTTGTCATGTCGATGCCTTCGGGCAACATGAAGGAGCTAACACCTTTTCCACTGGGTGAGGCAGCAAACCCACACTGTGCCCTATCATTCAGTCTGAGTTTTAACTGGGTAGATTGATAGATTCCTTTGGATGGATTTGGGACAAACCGATTTAACAACTGTGTCACTGGGGCAAATTATCATCTCTGTAATCTCTTGCTGTGTTGGTACTTTGTCTCTCAGCCATGCCGTCCTGGCATCAAAGTAAAACATTAATAGTGGTGCCCTTCCGATAAGGAGCAATAAATGTGATAAGCTTAACGGTAGATTTAACTTTATGCTTTCAAGGTATGAGTACCCCTCTATGGACCAGCTGGCTGATACCCTCCCATTGGTGCTCAAGCACTTTGGGTAAGTTGAGTTTCAGCTTACCAATGCACCTCTTACTGCTGTTTGTCAGGAATCCTCTGACAAGTTGTTCTAACAGTATCCACCTGTCTTTGTGCACCACAGTCTGAAGAGCGTCATTGGAATGGGCATTGGAGCCGGCGCCTACATACTGACCCGATTTGCTGTAAGTTCACACCTCACCCTCCTCTGCATGCTTCATGATTCAGGTTTTAATTAATCTAGGATTAACAGTTCGTGTTTCTACTTTTTGATTATTTTGGCCTTAAGAGGCCACTTGTTGACTTAGTCCATCTGAGCTACAAAAGCCTGAGGAATTTACCAGATCAGCTCAACTCTAACCCTTTTGAAGCCTCCGTTTTTACAGAATACTTACTGGAGTCTCACTGTTGAGAATATTTTGGATAACGGCATGAGTTGACATGCCTCATAAAATGAACCTCAACTACACTGGAGCAGCACAACCTGAAGGATTTAAAGCACAAGCTCAAAATTATCTTTTCTCTTTTAGCTGGACTATCCGAATATGATGGAAGGTGTCATGCTGATCAACATCAACCCATGTGCTGAGGGATGGATGGACTGGGCTGCCCACAAGGTACCATATCCAAGAAGGCTATAAAAATAGTTAAAGGATTTGGATTTTCATTAGAAGCTCAGATACTAGATAAAATGTTTTATTTTACATTGATAAGAATCAGGATCTCTCTGAATTATTCATATCCAGGTTTGACTTGTCCATGAGTCTAAGAAAGAAGTTTTTAAAAAATACTCTGACAAAGCTTCCACAATGTTTTGGCAACTGGAATATCAGATTTATAGATCAAAGTATTACTATTTTATTATTTATTTTTAAAGTATTTTTCATTCAGTATAGAATCTGTGTCATTTAGGATTATAGAGTATATCCAAAAATAATGGGTTCTTATTTCAAAAGTGGCGCCAACTGCTTCCAACAGTGCGGTCTACTATTTAATGTAGCCGATTTTGTCATCACAACAGGGCAAATCAATAACTATGTTTTTTTCCACATGTATTTATAAAAATCTCCACTAGTGATGAAACATGGTATAACATTTAAAATGCTCACCTTTACATCCTTACCTCTTGATAATGGCTTAAAATCTCTTCATAAGAGAATTGAACAGCATTGCCTGTCTACCATTGGAAGATTCATTGTAACTTTTTGTTTTTTAGATCAGTGGCTGGACCCATGCTGAGCCTGATATGATTATCTCCCACCTCTTTGGAAAGGTACCATTTTATATTAATTTATCTATACATCTAATTATAATCTAACGTGGTTGAGGGTAGATTCTGGATTTAAAATGTGTAATTATTATTTTTATGCTTTCTTTAAAGGAGGAGATCGGCCACAACCATGAACTGATTGGTAGATACCGCCACCATATCTTAAACGACATGAACCAGTTCAACCTTCATCTCTTCGTCAAGTCCTATGAAAGGTGAGGCAGCAGGAAAAAATGACTCTCAAAGGTTTTAACATGTTGGGATGCTAATTTTCTTTCTCTTGTTCCAGCCGGAGGGATCTGGATATTGAGAGGCCGGTACCTGGAATTAATGCCAGAACTCTTAAGTAAGCATGGGAAGCTACCCTATTTGTACATAAAGGAATGGATGGTTTATGGCTGATTTTTAAATGCTTTTTTTGTTTCTTTGTTTTTCCAGGTGTCCTTCTCTGCTAGTGGTTGGGGACAATTCTCCTGCTGTGGATGCTGTGGTGGGTTCTGGCTCTTCACTTTCTAATTGAAAGCATGGCTTTTAGTTCTTGGAACTAGAAACAGATCACACCCTGAACGTGCTTTCCATCCAATGCAGCCTTCTGTTTAAAGGGAGAAGATATGCCAGTTTACATAGATTATCACCACATTTGAACTTGACTCCAGGAACACAGATCAAGTGACTCAGATTAGATTTAATCTCCTAAAGTCAAGAGATTTGTGTAACTGGGTTTACTTGTTGCTTAGGAATTGTCTGCAGTCCCGTATATTTATGCATTAATGAAAGGGGGAAAATATTTGCTGTCACATTTTCATTATGGACGTTACTATAAGGACTTTTTTTTATTTTTTTTTTTATCTAATCGGACCCGTTTGTTCTTGCAGGTTGAGTGCAACACTAAGCTAGACCCAACCAAAACAACCCTTCTTAAGGTGAGTTGTGTCCTGTTCTTTGTTCCACTCGTGTCCCCATTTTAGACCTCCTTGTCCCATATTCACATAAAGATTATAATAGCCTTGGTGGAAACGCTTTAGCTGATAAGTTTCCAGCAGGTCAGCACTTACTTGGTGACATATTAACCAGAGGTGCCACTGCTGAGCATGTCCTTGCATTCGCACTTTGCCTGTGCGATTGTCATCAACTGACCTACTTCTGTTTGCCTTTGGCAACCATTTAACGGCATATCAAGATCAAATGGCTGCTGAACTGAATGATAGGTTCACCATTGAGACTCTATAGCACTATTTTAGAGGAATCATGGGGGACTGGGTCAGAATGGGTGTGATGTATATGTATTTTTCTTTGGGGATGTGGCTCAATATTCATTTTTTTCTGTCTTGTTCCAGATGGCGGATTGTGGTGGCATGCCCCAAATCGATCAGGTATGTCCCCTTGCTTTTCAGATAGATGTTCTCTTAGCAGGACAAGTTGGATAAGGAGTGCAGATTGTCAGGCTGGGGGGGAGGGAGTGTAAGAAGGTGGCACATAAGAGCATTAAGAAGCAGCAGACATGGACCACAGTTATCAGGTTTTAATCCAGCACACTTAGCTGCACCTGCTTGTAGCAGCTGTCATATCGCAGTAAGCTGTTGGCTGGAGGGAAGGAGCGTGTTGATGATCTTAAAACTGAGTGATTTATTTATGACATGGAGATTGATAATCTGTGTTTGTGCTCCTCCATGCAGCCTGCAAAGCTGACGGAAGCTTTCAAGTACTTCATTCAGGGAATGGGACACAGTAAGTAATCAATAAAACATTTTTGGGTGTTTAGGTATTTCTAACTATTTGACCAGGGGGAGTGGCGGCCTAGTGGTTAGGGCATAGAGCTTGGAATCCTGAGGTTCTGACCCCAACTCCCAGACTGCCACTCTGGGTCTCTGAGCAAGACCCTAAACCACACACTGCTCCCTGGGCGCCCAACGATGGCAGCCCACTGCTCCCCAAGGGGCTGGGTTAAATGCAGAGGTAAATTTCTCCAATATGAGATCAATAAAGTTCAATTATTATCAGATACATGTTAGCACTGCAGGCATTTGATCTTGGAATAAAAAATACTGATATTTCTCCCTGTTCAAGGCACTTCTGCCACCTTGTGGTGAGATCAAGGTTTTGCTAATGGGTCATCTTATTGTTTCTAAACAGGTTTTTTCCCCCCCATTAGTTTAACCATGAAATCTTAAAAAAACAAACAAACAAAAGTTCAATGGATAAACTATCTGTTCATAAACAAAATCAAATTACTAACTTTATCATTAAAATGTATAATACCTGCCTAGTTCATAAAAATGTCTGCACTTTATTCTTCATTCTGTTTTATAAGTTGACCCATTTCTTTAAATTCATTTCTTTAGATTCACTGATAAATGAAAATTCAAATGCATATAAGCTTAAACACTCTTATTGCAGTCTGATTCTTTAAGTTAAACAATATGAGGCATTCCTGACTTGGACAAAAAAATAACTAGAAAGAAATGACTGCCAGTAACCAAAAGTGAATGTTAGTTCCTAGTATCAATAAGATCTGCTCTGATCAACTTCTCCTTCCTTAGTGCCTGCTGCCAGCATGACCCGCCTGGCCCGCTCTCGCACCGCTTCTGGCTCCAGCTACACCTCCGACGGCAACCGCTCACGCTCCCACACCCACGATGGCAACCGCTCTCGCTCGCACACCAACGAAGGGAGTCGCAGCCGCAGCCACACAACTGAACACGGCCACACCGACGGCACGGCCAACAACAACGTAGACCAGTCTGCGCCCAAGTCCACTGAAATCTCCTGCTAAATTGTCCCCTCCCCCCTGTTGGTGCAGACAACACAAACCTCTTAAGGTCCCGTCATGTTGTGCTGCGCTGCCTCTTAATCAAACGCATACACATATTCAGAGAGGGACACTAAAATGGCTTAATGGGATATGTACAAAAAAAAATAACGCACAAAGGAATCTCTCCTGCAGATCTTCCACTGCAGATCAGATCCTTATGAAAAACACTTAGACTAGAAGGTTTTGTTCAACTGTTTTGTCATTCAGGGACTCGCGCCCACACACACACATCTGCATTCATATTGAGCAGAGGAGCAAATGGAGGTAACGCAGCATTCAGGGACACCAAAATGGAGAATATCAGAGAAAGCTGTGGCTAAGAGTACTCCTGCTTATAAAGTATTTCTTTTGCATTTAAAGCAGAATTTAAAAAAACAAAAACAAAACAGCATTCCCTCCTTCGGTTTCTTATCACATTTTAACACAGCTTTCTCAAATTTCCCCGACTGTAAATGTCTTGTTTTGTTCTCTGTAATTGTCTGATCATTTGCTCTTCCTTTTTTCCATGCTGTGTCATTTGTGCATAGGAGCAGGTTTGTAGTTGTGAGGGGAGAAAAATAGGAGGCGCTGATGGATGAGACATAAAGGGCTCACAGTTTCTGTAGCTTTACAAGTTAAGGGAGGAAGTTTAAGGATATACTGTAAATAATGCTTATTACATTCAGCTGGTGTTTATCATCTTCCAGGTGTTGGGTTTAATTTTACTTTAAGATTTTTTTTTTCTGCAACATTTTGGTTAGCATGTGGAAAAACTGGAATTAAGACTGAATATGGAAAAAATTTCACAAAAAAATAGCTTTATAATGAATTGAAGTGCAAATTCTCTCAACCTTTTCCATCATGCTTTATGATGCCCTCCCTCACCCCTCCACCAACCAAATGTATGCTGATTTCTATGCAATCAAGTACAAAGGAACAAAAAAAGTGCCATGAAATTGTTAGCTTCTAAGATGTGATGGTCCAATGTGGTTTTGAATTTGTTGGGTGAGTGCAGATGGAGAGGTCCACATGTTAACATGAGGATAGCCATAGAACTTACCCGATACCATTTCCTGTATTTTACTTGCACTACAGCAACATTATACTTTGCAGTGATGTAAATGCAGCTTTGTAAAGATGCAATTCAAACCATCTATTGCTGTAGAGGAAAAAATAGCATTAAAATGACATAACAGTTAGTATTTATTAAAAAATGACAAAAAAACAATCTTGTAACTGACTCCTTTTTCTTTCTGTGATGAATGCATGTAACTATAGACTTCAATCTGCTCTATTATAAACTAGAAACTGCAAAAGGTGACTGTCTTCATTGCAAGGATATTCACACCCAAATTAGCTTTCAATAGAACTTAAGTTTAATGCAATTTATGTAAAAGAAAAACTGCAACATAACCTGTTTGAGACTTTTGAGCAAATGCTTTATGGAAACCAAACACAGCTAAAGTTCAAATTAATTTAAAGTGGGGTTGGTTGAAACAACCCGGCGGCATCCTATGCTTTAAGCACTTTCAGATTACTTTTCAAACGCTATCTAAAAAAAAAATGGAAGTCGCACAGCAGCAAGCCTGCAATCGCATGGGTGTCCACCTAAACTTACATGCCAATTATTTGTCAAGGACTCTACAAATATGACCAGGAAGAGAGTGGTTAGTAGGGAGTTCCTGTTAAAGGAACTGCTCAGTTTGCTTGTCGCTGCAAACAGTATGGGGATGTCTGACCAACATTTAGAACCCTGTGTGCAGGGAGGACAATAACACTGTCTAAACTTAGCCTTCATTTACACAGTAGTGGCAGTATTATGTTGTGATACTTTCATATAGCAGGAATAACTGGAAGACGAGTAGAGCTAAATTAAGGATAATCCTTGAAGGAAATGGGTTAATGTTCAAAACACTGAAGCATTAGGCAAAGGTTTATCTACAAGCTGGATGATGACTGTAAACAGCGGTGGAGTTTAGATTAAAACATATATTCATGTATCAGGACAGCCGAGCCAAAGATTATCTAGTTGATAATCAGATGTCCAACAAACAGACTGAGCTTTAGGTGTAAAACAAATGACAAAATACATCTTCATATTTGCAAGGATTGTATAAAACAGGTTTAGATTCTAAAAAATATTGAGTTGGGGAAGTGAATACACATACACATTTTCATATGAAATTAATTGATTTTAAATAATTTTTTTTCTTTCCAATCATTGATATACATTCACAGTAGATACAACAGAATTTGCTCTTGTATCCTGTCAAAACGTGACACAATTAAAGAGGCTTAAATAAGCAAGGCAGTAGATATTGATACTAAGGAAAGTATGTACTGTTGCTTTAAAGCAGTGAACAATCCAAGATAGTTAAAAGCAAAACATGCTGCCAAGCAGAAAATATAAAAGAATAAATTAAACTTTAAATATGGGCTTTTTTATTACCTCTTCAAATATTCTCACTACATGAATGCATCTTAGAGACATATTCCATATTTACAATTTTCCAATAATAAAAAAATACCTTGCACATTAATAATGCAAAGTTTCTCTAAAACAGAATAAAAAACCCAAGCCTTATTTGCTATTATGCTTCATTTTAGCTCATGACCTCCGGGTAACCATAGTAGTTCTCCAGCTCTGCAAAGATGTCATTGGGATTTCTGCAGCTGAGGTTGCAGAAGCAAGCCTGGATCCACATCATCTTCCAGGTGAACCCGGTCCCGTTTGGACACTCGAACTCCACGTCTACCGTCTTCGACTTGTACGGGATGCAGCAGCGCTCGTCTGTGCAAACGCCACAGTATTTGGGCCGGTACTGCTTCTTGCTGGTGCAGCCAGAAATAGTGAGGTTTGAGGACTGCTCCTCCCTGTAGATATTCAAACACCTTTTTCCTGGCTAAAGAATAAGAGTAGCATTTAGAATCTAATGTCAGAAAACTTTATGACACTAAAGGTTCATGTTTGTACCTTGATATGTTGGATTACGTCTGCCTCACATGGCCTCAGATTGCACAGGCGGGTCTCCTGGATGAGCTCACATTGATCATTTGCATTGGAGATCCTCAATGAAAGGCCACGACCGCAGGTTTTAGAGCAGGGGCTCCATGAAGTGGTCTGAGTGATGCAGTTCTTGTGCCAGCTCCTGCTCTCAGTTGGGAAAACTAGATTGACATAAACAGGAAATGAGGAATTATGTTGCACATCTATATGAAATACTTTGAAATGTAATGTTAGAACTTGATTTTACTGAATAAATTCTAATAAAAAGTCACCATAAAATCTCACGTCATCATTCAATATGACCTTGACTTGTTAACCATTTACCAAAATGAAGTTAATGACTGATTTAGACAAGTTCAAAGTTTTTAACCGTCCGGTCAGTTCCCTGAATCGTCTGGGTTTAATCTGTAACACCTATCTTAGATATACAGCTGTAGAAACTTTTTTAATGAAACAGTTAATATTGCCCTTCATTGATTTCTCTTCTCTGTCACTTTCATAGAAATATGCCCGGGCTTTATGTGTGCATGGCTGTGTTTCTTTCTCCTGGATTAAAGTTGCTGCAGTGAACTTTATCTACTCTTTTCTCCTTCATACAGAAAGTGTACCACATTTACCCATTGTTGCCATAGTGTATTATTTTTGAACGTGGTAATCTGTGAATAGGCAGCTTCTTTATTAATGAAATTTTGACATTAACCCTGATAACATATAACTATCGTTTAAATCAGTGATTCCCAACCGGGGGTACTCGTACCCCTAGTGGTCAGCGAATGCAAGGGGTACATGAAAATATTTTATTTCGTAAGGATTAAAATAAAATAGAGCTGGGGTCTGTTTTGCTTTGTGATGACCCAATTGAAAAATTAACCAAGCTTTTATCAACCAAAAAGTAAGTTTTTCTTATATGTTTGAGTTCACCTTCAGCTTTGATACACATCCAAACCAAGCAGAGGAACAGACTGGATGTAGAGAAAAGCCTGGTATCCGCTGTTTTTCCACACTGATCTATCGGAGCTCATCAAAGGAGCTGAGGTGTCTTGATGAAAAAAAAGTAAAAATAAATTAAGTCAGTCTGACTATCATTTTTGTTCTGTATTTTGTTTCCAATTCATCAAGTGTAAATGTGATTATAAGGGAGTTATTCAGAGGAGATCCAGTTTTACAAATACAGGTTTATAATGTGATTTCATTTTGTGTTTATTTAGAACATCCAGGCAACATATTTATGTAGCTTTTTTTCAATTTGAGGGAAAGATGGAAAGCATAAAATACCTTAGAATTAAATGCTCAAATTAAAAGATTAAGTAACATATTTGGACTGCACACTGATGCAGTGGGTAGCATTGTTGCCTTGCAGCAAGAAGGTTCCGGGTTAAATTCTCACTCTACTCACTGAGTGGGTTCTCTCTGGGTACTCCGGCTTCCTCCCACAGTCCAAAAACATGACTGTTAGGTTAATTGGCTTCTTTAATTGTCCTTAGATGTGAGTGTGTGTGTGATTGGTTGTGCGTCTTTGTGTGTCTCTCTGTTGCTCTGTGACTGACTGGCGACCTGTCCAGGGTGTACCTCGCCTCTCGCCAATAGCCTGCTGGAGATAGGCACCTGCCACACGTGAGCCTGACAGGACTAAGCAGATGGATGGAGTACAATAGGTTTTATTTCATAATCAGTTTTTGTACGTTCCACTTTTGGACAATCATCAATACTTTTGACTGGGAGGGGTGGGGGGTGGGGTGATAGGGTACTCATGGTAAGACATAATTCCCAAAGTGGTGCATAAGTCAAAAAAGGTTGGGAAACACTGATTTAAAGGACTATGTAGGGCATAGTATAACACTTATATATTAATAGGCCATTTAATTAGTCTTACAAGGCATTTTAAGGTGACTTTTTGGCTGTTTAATGAACTTTTTATGACTATAATCCATTAAAATCATGTATTGAATAGAAATGCAAACATTATATCCATTTCTGTGAAAACAAAAACATAGATAGATAGATAGATAGATAGATATTTAAGTTTTTACACTCATAATTTAAATGCATTACCTTTTTGTGATACTTTTTTGATTTACCTTTAGATCATAAAAAAAATATTTTAAAAAACTAAATGCTTATTGGCCTGCCTCTATCCTAAACGTGTCCTACCCTCAACTGCGTGCCTTGGTGCTGTCTTCCGCCCTCTCCTTGGTTCATCACAGATCCACTGTTCACAGCACTGCCCCCGAATTTTGACTCTCCGTGGGCTCTGGCACCAAACTCTGGGTGGCTGGGACTCTGAGCATTGGGACACACAGCCGATGGCACCGTTCACGCACACACACTGGTATTTACAGCTGGGCTTGAAGCTCTGACCGTTTCGGTAGAGCACACCGTCATACTCACAGCCTGTTCCCGTCATATCTGACAGAGACAACAAACAGACACATTTTATGTAGCTAAACAGCTCAGTCTGCAGAGCAGGATGTTTGTGGTGCAGCATAGTACAAACAGATGTCTCTATTATAGAGATAAACCTTGTTATGAATACAAACATGACATTACATACTGTAGAATTACAGAGGGGCCTTCCCATGCTGCAGAATGAGCTCTAACTATTCAGGAAACAGGACATGCAGGATGTGGTTGTTGTAGAAAGAGAAAACTCTCAGAGTGCCGTGGATAATTTGGTAGAGTCTCTATAGATCATTTTCTTTTTATAATCAATCAGTTACAGTCAATTAGGTATCTTGGTTGGGAGATATCAAAGGTAGACAGTAGCTTAGCTGCTGAAGTTTTATAGCAAGGATTTAACTGCTCTGCAAGGATTTTACAGATATCTTTAGTAAAACATGGATGCATTTTATTCAAGAAGACACATCTGAAGACAGATGTCAACATAGCCAATTAACCGAGTCCCAACCTGCAAACTTTAATCTATAAAGTACTTTTTAAACAGCAAGCAATGACCAAAGTGCTGAACAAAAAAATTATAAAAATTTATAAAACATAAGAATTTAAAACAAAAAGATTAAAAGTAAATCTTTTTGCTCTTTTTAATCATACCACCCTTGCATTGTGTAAGCTTCAGTTGGATTCATCTGATCCACTTTATCTTTTTTTTATTTTTTTTTATTTACTTTTATAAATTTAAAGGTTTATGTCTTTGAACAGGTATAATTCAGGAGGACACTACAGCTGACATTGGTTTATCTTTGGAAGGTGAGGCAGCATCTGAGATGCTGATCCAGTTGAACTTTCAGAGTTAGCAAAATTATTGTCTTCATCTAAGCCTTCAACTTGTATGTTAGATCCAGTTCCAACCAGGTTATTTAAGGAAGTATTGCCTTTGATCTCGTCCTCCATTTTAGATGTGATGAATCTATCTCTGTTACAGGGACATGTACCTAAGGCTTTTAAGGTTGCTGTAATTAAACCTCTACTTAAGAAACTGTCTCTTGACCCAGATGACTTGGTCAATTATAGACCTTTATCCAATCTTCCTTTCTTATCTAAATTCTTGAGAAAGTAGTTGCCCAACAAGTGTGCGACCACTTACATCATAATGAACTTTTTGAAGAGTTTCATTCTGACTTTAGAGCTCATCATAGCACTGAAACAGCTCTGGTGAAATTCACTAATGATATTCTCATGGCCTCAGATAATGGACTTGTGTCTGTGCTCGTCCTGTTAGATCTCAGTGCTGCATTTGATACAGTTAATCATAATATTCTTTTAGAAAGACTTGAATATTTTGTAGCAATTAAAGGAACAGCTCTAGACTGGTTTAAATCTTATCTATCTGATTGATTTCAGTTTGTTCAGTTTAATGACAAATCTTCCTCATGCTCCACCTGAGGAGTACCACAGGGATCAGTGCTAGGACCAAATCTCTTTACTTTATATATGCTCCCAATCGGTAGAATTATTAGACAGCATGGGATTAATTTCCACTGTTATGCTGATGATACCCAGCTATATCTGTCTATAAATCCAGATGAAGGTAATCCATTACATAGATTACAGGCATGTCTTGAAGACACAAAAAACTGGATGACTCTTATCTTTCTGCTCCTGAATGCAGACAAAAAAGTTATAGTCTTTGGACCAGAGTGTTTGAAAAACAAGCTGATTAGCCAGTCACTTCATTTGGATGGGATTAAACATATTTCAGATAATAAAGAAAGAAATCTTGGTGTCATTTTTGTTCAGGACCTGTTATTTAAATCCCACATCAAAAAGGTTCTAGAATTTCATTATTTCATCTGCAGACTATTTCAAAAATGAGAAACATCCTGTCCAGGGTGATGCTGAGAAACTAGTCCATGCATTTGTTACTTTAAGGCTGGGCTATTGTAATTCTTTATTATCAGAAGTCCACAATCTGTAGTTAAAAGCCTTCAGCTGATCCAAAATGCTGCAGCCAGAGTTCTGATGAAAAAAATTAAAAAGAGAGATCATATCCCTCCTATCGTAGCTTCTCTTCATTTACTTCCTGTTAAATCCAGAATAAAATTTAAAATCCTTCCGTCTCACATAAGCCTTGAATGGCCAAGCTCTAATATCAGGATATGATTGTTCCTTATGTGCCTAACAAAACACTTCGCTCTCGATCTGCAGGTTTACTAGTGGTTCCTAGAATTTCTAAAAGTAGAATGGGAGGCAGATCTTTTAGTTATCAGGCTCCTCTCCTGTGGAACCAACTACCAGTTTTAGTCCGTGAGGCAGACACCCTGTCTACTTTTAAGGGTAGGCTTAAAACTTTCCTTTTTGATAAAGCTTATAGTTAGAGGGGCTCAGGTTATCCTGAGCTATCTCTATAGTTATGCTGCCATAGGCTTAGACTTATGGAGGATGTAGGGACCCCTATTTCATCATTCTGCTCCATTCTATCTCTATGCTCCCACTCTGCAGAATCTGTTATTTCAATCTCTAACGTTATGCTCTCTCTGCTTTTTCTCATAGTAGCTTTGCCTCGTCTGTTCCTGTTTGGCTGTGACACCATCCTGGAGAGAAATATCAGCTGTGCTGCTGCCATCAACACCTTTGTTTGTTTTTCAGTGCAGTCCTGTTTCTCTGACTGTGACTGGCTGGATGTGCTCTCTTCATCCTTTGACATGGGAGTTGGCTCAGAACTCGTTTGCCAGGCTGTGTGTTTCCTGGACGGGGCCGCCTTTTACAGTTGTTTTTTGTATCTCTGCTTCTGTCTCCTTGAACCCCAGTCTGCCTCTGCAGATGGCCGCTCACACTGAGCCTGGTTCTGCTGGAGGTTTCTTCCTGTTAAAAGGGAGTTTTTCCTCTCCGCTGTCACTACAAGCATGCTTTGTGTGAGGGATTGCCTTCTAGTCAATGAGTCCATGCAATCAACTGGTTTTCCTTAGAAAACTTTGAATCAATCTGACTAGAAGATCTGGTGAACTGTAAAGTGCTTTGAGATGACATGTGTTGTAAATTGGTGCTATATAACTAAAGTGAATTGAATTGACATTACCTGTTTGGAGGTAATTTGGTCTCTATGAAAATAGTTTAGTTCTGTTTTTATAATCATAGTATCTATTTGTGTAATTTGCTTGATAAAAGTTCGATTTTAACAATACTACATATAACCATTAGTTAATACATTCCTGTTAAGCTCTAACTGTAAAAACCGAGATCCTGCAAAGACAGTTTTTGCTTGCAAGAAATACTTGGACAAACTAATATATGACTATAAAATATAACCCAAGAAGTTACTGCTCCATATAACTTGATGATTCCAGTGAGGGACACTTACATGCACACACTCCTTTTTCGTACCTAGGCTTGTCCGAGCTGTAGTCGCAGTACAGCCCCTTGTGATAGTCACAGGTGTCTGCCTCGTTGCACTCCTCCCCAACCTGCTTGGCACAGGCCTTGCAGCAGTCGCAGCCATCCAAAATTAGGCTCACACCTGCCGGACACTTGGGAGCCACCTCAGGACACTCGCATGGCCACTTGCAGTACCGTTTTCTGTTGTACGGGTCTGCGGTTGGAGAAGAAACGGATGTGGCAGGTGGCATGGCAGTGGAATTCAAGGAGTAGGCCTGGAAGGAGAAGAGCACAAAAGTTAAGTTACATTTTCCTGATCTCTGTGTTATATCTCTAATATTGTGTTTGTTTTTTTCAGCACTTTCTGTGTGTTTCTAATGTTCAATAGTATTATTTTTGCCATTTCTTTATGCTCACTATTTTTATTTTTTTAGCCTATTTTCTGGATCTTTTGGTGTTACCATTTGGTCATGCCATGGTTTTCTCATTTATTTATTCTGTATTATTGGATAGTTTTTTATTAGATTCTTCCCGTAAATAGTTATACTTCAGCCTGACCAGTTAGTTTGTAAGATTTAATTTACTTATGTCTACTCATATTGTCTTTTCTTGGACCAATTTTCCTGACTATTTAAGCTCTCGGATTGTTTTCATTTGTAACTGGGTTCTTTGCTTGCTTCCTGTCTATATGCCCAGGCTTTTGTTTTGTAAATTGTTATTGTCTTTATTAAATCCTTCAATTCATCACACTGCTTCTGAGTTTTTGGCTCCTTCCTTATCTGGCAAATTATAGCTCCTACCTCCTGTGCCTCCCTCCTATCCTTTACTTTTTGTGAGGCCAACAGTAAGACAATATCCAGGGTAGGAAATCCTGTGCTGAATCCAAGCAGAACTAAAAAAAAAACAGTTACTTAAATGCTCTTCTTATAAATAAAAACAATACATATGTGTCTTTTCTTACTGCAGTCCAGTTCTGGCATTTATAATGGCAACCTCTGATGCACTTCTGCTTTGGCTTGTGTCCTTACCATTTTGACTAATTAGGATTGAGCCTAGTCTGCACCTTGGTCTAGATCATCAAACTTTGTGATAAAAATGCTTAGAAAAATAACAATAATCAGAATTCCCAAACTTTTCAAATATATTTTGGTGAAATAAATATTTTCTTAATATATGACAGAACTTGGTTCTTATGTTTATATATTTCCTCTTTAAAAATCATGAAAGAGATTCTAAAATTAAAAATTGTAAGTAATAGCTTCTGTGCTGTGTTGTATCCATATAATAAACGTGTTGCTCCAAGAAGGACATGTGACCTGTTGTATTAACTAAGGCATGCAATATCTTTAATCCTGCATTTATTCATATCGTCTTTGGCAACATGCATGGCTGAATGGTAGATCTGAGGGCTTTCACATAACTAATTTGTTTACACCCTTGATAATCACTAATATGTGGTCACTGCAATAAAAAAAGCTAAACACCCAGTGGAGATAAACTTATTAAATTAGCGTAAGAGCCTAGCTATGCAAGTAATTGTGCTGAGAGATTGCAAAATACAAGAATATTCTAAATGGTGTCTCAGTTAGCAGTTACAATCTTCTTGTATTTTTTGTTGTGGAATCTGCCTTCTGCCGCTATTCTGCAGTCACTTTCCCCTGTTAGGAACTCCTAACCTTTCCCCTGTTAGGAACTCCTAAACTTTCCCCTGTAAGGAACTCCGAAACACCAGACAATCCACATTGGGGATTTTTCTCAATTTTTGTCACCATTGTCTTCATTCTACCTGGCAATTGTCCATTCCCTAACCAACAATACACATAAACATTTTCTCCATAACTGTAAAACCCCTGACTTCAGTTGATCTGTAGCCCTCTGTTTTGCTGAAACCTGTCTTGATGAGCACATCACTCACCTGAAATACAGATGCTAGACTGCAATTCCAGCAATTTCGAGTGAACTGGAGTTGGTAGGTCTTCTATATAAACAAACTCTGTTGTGCTGCTGGAATAGGATTATAGGACACCTATCCATTACCTAGTCTTTTTTAAATAAATGATAAACTCTTTTATTGTCAGGGGGAGTTCTCCTTGTTTGTTCTGGCAAAGGTTTACATCCCACCACAAGTCTGCACGTAAGAGACACTAGGCTGAATGAGCTTCCTGAAACTTTCACTTCTTACACTGCAAAAAATATAAACCTCAATAAGTTATTTTTTCTTAAAATAAGTGTGTTTTTCCTTGATTTGAGGAGGTAAAACAGACACTTTGCCAATGGAACAAGACAATTTCCTTTTAAAATAAGAAAAAAACTATTTTATCGTCTTATTTCAAGTAAATATTATCTAACTATCTTATTTTAAGAGTGAAAATACTCATTCCATTGGCAAATCATCTTATTTACCTGCTCAAATTAAGGCTAAATATACTTAATTTAAGCAATTTTTTACTTATTTCTGGATTGTTTTTGCAGTGTACATAGGTTTTGCAAGGGAGTATGTAAGCAGACCAAGATCTTTTGCCCATAGAAAAAGAATATACAAGTGTTCACTTTACATCTAAGCGAACTGTAAATACAAAGGAAGAGGGTAACATCAGTGGGGGTTCTGTATAGTCAGGCTAGGAGCAAACTGACTTAGGAGATTAGAGCAGATAAAAGAAGCAACAATAAAAAAGGTAAAAAAAAAAAAAATGGTTGGAGAGGAGTTTGGAAAGGTCTAAAAAAATATATTAACTAAAAGAGACCCCACCCCAAAGCCCAACCATGAGCAAAACTCCTTATCTGACAGCAGAGCTTAACTGCTTCTCTTGCAAGTTTAAAGAGGAGGTGTTCAAGCCCACCACCAAGTTCACATGTCATCCTAAACAATAAATTCCCTCTTCTGCTTCGACCCTCTTCCGGGACCCAAGATCTCAGAGGAAGATGTAAATTGGTTCTTGCATTCTCTAAAGACTAGGAAAGCTTGAGGACCTGACTATCTGCACTGCCGAAAAATGACTAGATTCTGACTCAAGTGTTTGACAACTATAGGCCTATTGCAATGACTAGTATCAGGGTGAGCATCTGACCCTGTTGAAATACTTCAAGCAACAGGTTCAATGACTATAGGTTGACTATACTAGAAAAGCCATGTTTTCCTTTTTAATATGTAAAGGTCTTTAATAAAAGCAGTGTAAGCACTCAACAACAACTACTACCACCATCAAGTTTAAGCACATTGTGACAAAGTTTAGACAACAAGAACCATGCATGAGTATAAGTTTAGTTAATTCAAGAAAAAAACAATTGTTTCATATAATCTGCGCTGCTCAGCGCAATAGAGAAACTTAGCTGAAATCTTTAAAATGTATGCCCATTCGCACACTCATCAGGCATGCTTAATCCACAATCAATTATAGTAAAGCATATTAAATTGTTTTATGTATTTTTTTCTAAGCTTGTTCTCACCCCTTCAGTGGAATTAGTCATAATACTAATAATAACTCAGTGTGATGTTGTCAGCTAATGCTGATTAATGAGTTTTAATCAAAGCTTTGCCCCTAAGCCAACCCTCTAGAGGAGTTAATTTAGCCTACAGTGACTCTGCTATTTACAAAAAGAGTAACACAGTTAAGCCCACTATTATTCATATCCCATGCAGAGAATCCATGGAGTGGACTAAAAATGAAAGCAATGGCATTGGTATACTATATTGTTTAAAATAAAAAAAATAAAAACTTTTCATATTGTTCTATAAGATATTCCTGATACTTTGTCTATGAGAGGCAAGGTTTTTGGATGAATAAAATAAATTTCAAATCTAAATTAATGATGAATAATTTTGGGTTTTAACTGTAATAAAAACTCTTCGGGAAACTATTTCTTAGAAAAAGGAATCAGATGTAAAATTAATGGGCAGGACCTGTACATTAATTTTGATAACTGGATGCTTCATGCAGTCAAAGTGCTAATTAAAATACTGGATGAGTATCAAGGCATTTTGGAGGTAGTTCCTTTTCAGTTTTAAAACTTTTTAAAATGCAATTTATACCTTTTATCATTTACATTGAAATGTAAGCTTCAAAACGAGAAGTTAAAGAAGTATCCTTTACGTATTTCAACTAATTTGTGTGTTTTAAAAGTCTTTTTGCATTACGAATTTAGAAGTTCTGCTTGTGTACTACTTCATTACTTCACAAAATAACAGGGTCTAAATTCAGGTATGGGTGTTAAAAGAGAAGTTATATTGTGAATAAAATCTGTATAATTTTAGGTTTTAGATTAGACATTCTTGACCAAAGGCAACAATATCACATCTCTGCAATGAAGCAGAGATAAGTTCCAACTTTTGAGAAATAAAACACAAAACCTCTTTAATCAATAATGTATTTATGTACCAACTTTCCAATAGCTTTTTACCAACCTATGCTGAAGAACTGTTTAAAAAAAACAGTAGCAAACGGAAAAATAAAAAGCATTTCTTATACTAACCACAAGAGGACACTAAAACCTTACATAAATAATGGTAAAAGCTGTCAGTTGTGGCTCACATTTCAGGTTTATCTAATCACTAAATATAGAGAGACAATAAGAAAGTATCTGCAGGTGTACTAAAGAAAAATAAAAAATTTTCCTGAACTGTTTTATTGAAAAACTAAATGAAAACACCCAAATAATAGAATGCATTTCTGTTGAATTATACTTAAAACAAAATCACTGAAGTGATTAATTATTTAATGTGACACATTTATTCAATCTAACAAGTGAAAAAAAAAAGTTTCCTTTAGCCCACCTGTTGAATCCCAGCTGCTGTCAGAATCCACAACAGGAGCCAACTCATCACTGGTGAGGAAGTGCCCGTGCATTAAATCAGGAATCCGGTTCCGCTCTGTTTACACTACAGAAACGCAGCTCTTTTCCCCTAGGTGAGCTACATCCCTCTGCCGGGCTGTCATTTTCTGCAGCTCTCCTCTCTCTGATCCCAAACCTTCTGCTGACAGCCCAAAGTAATGTCTGTGGGGAGGAGAACAGCCCACTGTGGAAAGTTTCTTCTCCTTTTCTCCACTCCACTTTCACCCAGAAAATCCTCCTCCTCCTTCTCCTCCTCCCCATCTTCTTCTCACAGCCCTGGCAGCCCCGGTGGTTTGGGCGTGTCTGAAAGACAGCTGTTCTCTCTGGATGTTCTGGAACTTGCTTGGTTAAGATTATAGGATATAGATCAAATCAGAGGCATAGCCAGAAATTTTCTATAAGGGTGGCCAGGCAATAACCAATGTACACTGAAGGGGGGCCAAATGTGGATAGGCACCAGAACCTCAGGGTCAATCTACACTGCTCCAACAGGAACAAGCACAACGTCCATATCCCTAAATAAAGATAAACTATATTTTCCTACAGCCTTTGCTATAAAATAGATGCATATACTTAAACATCCATCTAGATAAAAGCTATATTGGATAAAATTCTTTGAGGTTTATGTTCTGGAGCGAACATCTTTTCCATCGTTATCACTTACCTACTTTTATCAGTAATCATTATGCATTAAATTTATATTTACAAGTAATAATATCTACATATATTTGTAATTAAATAGGGTTTTATTAAAATAGTCATTTACAGTATCTGATTTCTCTGAAGACTTCTCTTTAGGGCATATAACACAAAATTTAGTTCTGAAAGAGCATGAATTCTGTACTAATCATCTCTAATGTTGGTATATTGATGTGCATGACTAACCACAGTGTTTTTGTTGTCAAGTAATTGTTAATATATATATAAAAAAAATGTTTTGAATATTCTACTTGAGAGAAAAAAATGGTAGGGGTGGCCACAGGGGTAGCCAAAAACATTTTTGAGAGCCATTATTGTTTTTAGAATAATTACTTAAAGCATTACAACTTGGGATGTTTGACTTTTGGTTTAAGGAGAACCTTTTTATCATGCAATTGTAGCCCTTTCTATGAAACATCATATCAGAATATGATAGTAAGTTAAGAAAACTGATAATGATGAAGCATAAAAAGAGAAAATCAAATGAAGTCAGATGGTATTAATAATCCATCAAATCCACACCTGTACCATGACCTTGATCAGCTTGAACTACATTAGCACAACTGCAATGGCTGCCTCCTCTTTCGCATATAGAATTTAAAATTTCCTTACTCTCCGTTAGTATTTTATTAAGCGATGAATGATCTAACACTCTGATATTTCACTAAACTGTTGGAACTAAATATATATAACCCTATAAGAGCACTGGCAACATCCTACCAGATGCTGTTAGCGCAGTTGTGTTACAACAGCACGTTTCTGCTGAGGCCTTTAGTTGTCAAGGTTGAAATTGGAGTACGGAAAGGGTTGGGCAGGTAGTTCAACCAAGTCAACCAGTAATTATTTTGAAATAATTTATCAGCTCATTCTTTTCAAACATACATGTTTAGGGTTGTATTTACTGCAGCACTACAGTCTTTGTTTGTTTTTTCTTGCAGTGTGTTGCTGACCTGTGACTATTTCTCTGCTGCAGCCAAACCCCCCAAAGAGCTGCTGATGTGACACCTAACCACACACGTTACAGGTTGCCCACTGTATCTATATTAGGCCTCTGAATGTATCTGGCTTCCAGATGTTCACTTTAAATCAATGATGTCATGATAGTTTGATACTTTCCCGTCTCCAGCTTTTCTGTGAACATGGATGTCTCATTTTGAGAGGATACAGACAATGAACCAAAGCCATTTCACTCAATGAAGTTATTTCCAGTTGGAAAATACCAAGCAGATTGCTGCTCTTTTCCTGCTGAAAGTGTCTCTCTGAAAAACCAAAGTGTCTGAGAATTTTTGGCCTCTGGTGGAGACAGAAAAGGGGGAGAGTAATGGATGAGAAATGAGCACTTTGTAGAGAGGCTGGCTGCCCCAGGTCTGAACCCCTATTATTTACAGACAGTTCTCTAATCCCTGTCAGAAAGCTGTCAGCCACTGAGCTGATCTGAGCAGTATTTCCGTCTCTGCTCTAGCCCCCGTGACCCGACCCCTCTGCAGCACAATGTGCCCACTTTCACTCCTTCACACTCTTGGTCCTTTTTCTCTTTCAAGCTTCTTTTTTTTTTCCAGTTTTCTTTTTTTGGTACATTAAACCATATGCCAAAAAAATGTCAAACCTGTTAAACTTGAACCTAGATAACAAAACACCGGTACTTAATCAAAGATATTATTTTCAAGTGTTTCCAGAGCGTCTAGTGTGATTCTGGCTGGATACATGGCCTCTCCTCTTAGAAGAAATAATAAAATTATGTTTAATCATTTGGAATCATGCCTGGGATTAAAGCATTTTCCACAAATTCTCAGTGTGTTAAAGTTTAATGTCATCCTGATTAATCCAAGATAAAGTTGTGTTGTGTGTTTGGAAGCTATATCCTGCTGAAATCCTCAAGTTCAAGTTTTAAGACTCCATTTTTAACCAGGTATATTTTAGGGAAAATAAAAAATAAATAGTTTTTAGAAGTCTTGATTTTTTCTTCCACTTTGTAGAATGACAATAACTTTGGCAGCAAACAAGGCCCTCAGCATGATGCTTCCAGCTGCAATACCAACTACAAAAAAATATATATTTCTATTAGTCACGTAAATAAGTTTTATTCAAATCTCAACATGAAACGTTTTCCTAAAATGTCTTTATGCTGTCTTTTTTAATAGTTTCAAATTGCAGCTTAAAGGTGTTGGTTTCAAAGAATGAACTTCTCGGCACCTTCTCAGTCTGTAATGATTTTAAACTGCCATTACTCTGAAGAGTGACACTGGTGATCCAGGAGTTTCAACCTAATAGCAAGCATAAGCCTTTACGGTTTGTAGATGTTTCTAAACAAAGAACAATGTGTTTTATTTTAATCAAGTGGCCATTTGCCCAACCATAAATGTGTATGTTGTATAAACACATAATCTCTTACCATGCTCTTTGGTTTCATGTTGCTTAATACCTCAATTTAAGAGAAATAACATTTAAAAGGGTCATAGAATGCAAAACTGAGTTTTCATCGTCATAGATGAATAACGATAGTTCAGTTGGTGAAATGGACGTACAGAGAAGTTCAAACCCCATTGACACCTCCTTTCTCTGCAAATCTCACAATTCTAAACCTCCACCATAAAACGGGCAAATTCAAATAAAGCACTGAATTGACATCAACAGGGATGTTGCCTTATTTGGTTCTGGCCTGTACTATTGTCACGCTCCGAAATTGACATACAGGCCAGCTCACTGGTTCACTAGCCCAAGAACATGAATAGAGGTAGATGTAAGACATCACTTTAGCTGTTTAGCCTACAGTTGGGTTTACTTCTACAAGAATTAGAGGCAGTTTCTCTATTGAAAGTGAGCCATAATTATTTGCTTAAATGCTAGTGTTCCAGGCTGCACAGAGAAAGGGGTACATTTTCACAGTCTTCCCAAGGATCCAAAGACTCCTCAGGCATTGACTATTGCCAGATCCCTGCAAAGTTTGATGCTCAGCTGTTTATTTGCTCTAAGCATTTTACCAATGACAGGTTTCAAAATCTTGGATAGTTAAAGCTACGGGGTGAGAGGGTCCGAACACGACCAAGTGACAGTATGCTTCCCCTTATGCTTACAGTACACTTGGCTTTCAAGATGGTTTTAACAGAAGACCTGCTAAAAACCATCCATTACCACTAATCGGGTTATATTATTGAGAGACTCATGAGACCACTAAACATGGTCCAGGTTTAGGTCCTCTGGAGGACCTATTAAGATCCGTAGCTATGGTGGGAGGACAAATCTGCTTCTACAACCCAAAAGTTAGGTGTTTATATAGGAGTGCCAGACACACACACTCACGGTGGCAAGCTACATTGTAGCCACAGCTGCCCTGGAGCTCACTGACAGAGGCAGGGCTGCCGTACACTTGCGACACCGGGCCCTCTGACCACCATCAGTAGACAATGTAGGTGAAGTGTCTTGCCCAAGGACACAACGACACTGAAAGTCGGAGCCAGGGCTTGAACCGTCAATCCTTCGATTTCAGGGCAAACTCCTACATCCAACACCACACTCACCCTTATAACAATACTATCAGTCAAAGCATCTGTTAGAATGGCTTAGCCATATGTGAATATGATTTGAAAAAGACAAACAGTTCTAATTAAATAAGTTGAATAAAATTATGAAATTATATGAAAACAGTTTAGGCAATTTGTAATCTTGCACACATGAATATTTCTTTCAGCCAATGAGCGTTATAGCCAACTGTCCCCTTGATGCCATGGACTGAACTGAGAAATATCTGAATGCAAACCAAAAAATATTAGATCATTTGCTTTAAAGGGTAAGTTGTGTCTCTGATTTGTAAAACACAAAATGAGAAAACTGTAATCTGAGCACACAGGTGAGATCGAATTATATTGATTGACTTGATTGATCTCACAGTGAAGAAATGTACTTGTTTCATCCTCTCAATAGTCAGAAAGAAGAAGAAGGTAACAAACGGAAGTAAAAGGTGCATTGGGTATACACAGTATATGCAACTATAACTATATATAACTATATAGCTATGTGTTAAATTTATTATCTGAAAATAAAGCTGTGAAAAACGTAAAAGGATGAGAAGCAGAACCACACAAAGCACAAATGGGGCATGATTGCAGGAGCCGATCATCTGTGACTTCAGTCTTGCATCATTGCTCAAACTGAAAATCCCCTCATTAAAAAACCTTCTACTGACCAGGAAGTCCTAAATTCAACCCATGTTTGGGAAACCTTGGAGCTTAAAAGAAAAATCAAGGCGATAATCCCTCTTTGATTACTAGAATGACTTTGAAACACCTTTAGGGGACAAAAAACAATCAAGAAGATGTAAATGCTTCTCATAGAGTTTGGGAACATATTCTGAGATCAAATTACAGCTTGGAGCCAACTGCCTCAGTTATACAGCATAGAATGCCAAACAGCGAAGATATGATCTATTACACGGTACAAGCAGTAGGACTGCTACAAATACATCAGTGTCATGATCTTGGCACTGATGTCTGGCTAATTACTAACTGCATTCACCTG